AAATATATAAATGAAATTCACAAGTGGATTTAAATAAAGAAAAAGAGAACAAAAAGAAAAGAATTCAGTTAATTTGGGACACTAATTTCAGAAAAAAGATTGTACAAGTTTGCTAAAATGATAACCAATTGAAATAATTAATAGAGTGTGTATACAAGTTGAATAATTTATTTTATATCAAAAGAGTTTTTGTAGATATTAGAGTAAATTCAATAGTTGAGATCATGAGACAACTGAAGATAGATCACCATCGAAAATCAAAAAGCATTGACTGACCATTTTGATCTATCAAGAGACTCCTCAGTGGCAGTAAGCATCCACGATCCCATGTCGCGAGATGCTAACCCAGAACCTATCACTCTTACGCACGAGCGCCTGACCTCTACACCACTGAGCCGGCTGGCATCCAGTTGTGTTAATGTCTAACTTCAACTAATCCACGAAATTGAGTGACACATCCACCATTATCTTCATTGAGTTACTATCTGACAACAGACTCGGTTGAACTATACTGTTAACTGCTTCTCACTAGAACTCCAGAAAATACCTTTTGAAGTCAGTCACTAGTGGGCATATGTTGGTTTGAAATCACACGAGGCAGGAACGTGTATGCGTACTGATGAGGAGTGCCACAATAAAAAGAACAGCCGTCCATGGCTTCCAAGTTTTCCATGGTAACCTAGCTTCAAATGATTCATGATCTCAACTAATAAACTTCAATTATCAATGAAGATAAATAACAAATATGTATATAGAAAATTGTAATTTAAATTATGCATAATCATAATATCAGTTCCAATGATAATACAATAAACTGTGTACTGTAATATATATATATATATACAAACATTCAATGATACATAAATCTATTGTATATTATAACCACACAACAATTCATAATTGTGACAATTTTTATACTGATTTAATCAAAAGTTAATGCTGACTATGTTTGTTTGTTTGTTTGTATTTTGACAAGAAGACAAGTAGACAGATTTTGATTTGGACTAGAAAGATAGATAAATGTAGAAGACAGTAACAGATTAATTCTTTTACTGTATACATCTATATATAATGCATACACAGATATATACTGATGGTTTATGCCTATGATTATTATTATTCCATGATAAATAAATTCTACTATTATCAGACTTAAAGTAAATGGAAAAATCAAATAACAAACAAAAAAAATTATTTTGTTTGTTGACAGGTTTAATCATCATTGACAGTTTGATGAGTTTTATGCATGAATAAAAATGATTGTTTACAATTTTTACTGTATGTATGCATGTATGTATGTTGACATGTATGTATGTATGTATGTGTGTTTCACATGTGTATAAATATATACATAAACAGATGTATATATATGTACATTTGTTTAGTAACAGAATTGGTCATCCCTATCTTAATAGTATCTTTCAACTAATAAATTTTACAAGTCAATGAGGCAAACAACAAATTGTTGTAGTCTAGAAGAAAGATTTTTTGTTTGTTTTTACTCTTAACCATTTGAAATGTTTGCGGACTAGCATCATTTCAGTTTTGGAAATGAACTAACCCCACACAGATATGTATATGTAGAAAAGTATAAGTGACAGCTGTAGTCAAAATTATATGAATAATGCTTATTTAATGGTTTATGTATACTTAATGAAAATGTCCATTATTTGACAATGATATGTAATAGATTATTATCTATTTTCTTTTATTGGTGACAAGGTTTAAATACATCAAGATGAATTTCACTTTACTAAAGAGAATGTTTAATTAAATGGATTTTCACAAGTCAATGGTTATCTGAACTCAGTAGTTAAGGAGATAACTCGATAGCCAAAGGTACTGGGTTTGAGTTCCGAAATGAATATCATGTATGAGATGTAAATACATATAACTCATAGGTTTAAAACAGGACAAAACAAGAGTAATGTATTTCACTACTAGCCACGATCGATCCATGTTTATAGATAAAGTTAATTTATTGTAAAATATGATATTACAAATCAAATTAGTCTTGATGTACATGCATCTCTAAGACAATTATTTCTTCAATAGATGTTAAAATGCAAGATAATAAGTAGAAAGTGTTATATATAACTAAATGTCGACACATTTTTAGGTATTCTTTTGAGCTCAGATCATTGACTGATTGGTTGTTTTTAACAGATTTGTTTTTATCCATAAACATTTTACGAAGTACATTCAACAATGATCAGCTCTGTAATCTAGGTTTCAGTTCACTCCCCAAGAATTTTTCAGTTAGGTGTATTAAATGTTAAAACATAAAAATAATTGCTATAGAGTTGTAGAAATTTTTGTACTTTTTATCGAGATCATGAACCGATCAGTGAGAAATTAGAATCACTAGACAACTGTTTCGTTCAAGTATAAGACTGCTCATAATCCATAATCGTCTATGCTGGACTTGAAACCAAAATTTTCAGCCTCGAACAATTGCTTAACCTTTAGATTACTAAAAAGGAATTCAAAAGTATTGATGTATAACTTCAACAATAAAAGTGAATTTTTATTTTATTTTAACAGTAATATAAGTACTTAATATGACGATAAATAACAAATAAATTATTTCAGTAGTTCAGATAAAGAGTCAATTGAAGTTAGATTACCATGGAAAACTTGGAAGCAGTGGACGGCTATTCCGTCTTATCGTGGGACTGACTTCAAGAGGTATTTCCTGAAGTTCTAGTGAGAAGTAGTGAACACTACAGTTCAACCGGGTCTGTTGTCAGATAGTAACTCAATGAAGATAATGGTGGATGTGTCACTCAATTTCGTGGATTAGTTGAAGTTAGACATTAACACAACTGGATGCCGGCCGGCTCAGTGGTGTAGAGGTCAGGCGCTCGTGCGTGAGAGTGATAGGTTCTGGGTTAGAATCTCGCGAGATGGGATGGTGGATGCGTACTGCCACTAAGGAGTCCCTTGAATCGAACGAAATGGTCATTCAATGCTTCTAGATTTTCGATAGTGATCTATCATCAGTTGTCTCATGATTTCAACCATTGAATTTACTATAATATCTACAAAAACCCTTCTGATATGAATGAGAGTCTAACTAATGAAGGAAATAAACTTAAGTGATTCATATCAGTGATTAGTTTAAAGAATCATTTAAATTTTTCTAGTTTGTATAATTCACCGATCTCAGGCAATAATTGAAAAAGTAAAGAATATTAGATATTTGTTTCATCTAGGCGGCCTGTTTGAATATCTGGGCTACCTGTTCCGCCACCTAGATATTTCTTGTTTTGTTTTAACACATCATTTTGCCTATTAGACTCATAACCTATTCAGGAGTGTTTGTGACAAGTTTACGACATTTCGCTGTACAAGTTACAAAAGAGCCCAACCAGAGAAATCGTGGTCGCTGGCAATATGCACCGAGAACAAAACACATTAATCAGATGTCGATTTCTGAACTGCTAACATCTAACTGGAGACCACTCAATACTTATCGCAAGGGGCGATTAAGAAATAAGGAAAGGAAACTTGTTGAAATTCTTTATGTTGAGAATTCTATATTTTACCTGAAATATAATATTGAATAAAGCCAATAATAATAAGACAACTCAATTTTAGTGAGCATTCATGACTACATTGATGTTCGAAACCAGGATATTCAGTTTAATCTCTATCCCAATGAATTGTAATCTGATGGTTTACATCGTCTATTTTCAATCAATTTGAACCCATCTATCATTGTGTGTATCTGAAATCGAAAACGGTTGAACTTCATTTGTCACAGAATATATATATGTCTCTTAATGTATTTTAGAGCACTCATGTATATATTTTTGCTGAGAATTCTGTTTTTCAGTCAGATATGTTACCGAACATTTGTTCGTTCGTACTCGTAAATGTGTATACGTTAAAACCTAAATGGCAGCGATCATGGGAATAACGATTTTGCCTGTTCACTGATTACAAACATATAAGTTGAGGATGTTGCCTGATGGTGTGCTTATACAAGTTTTGGTCAAACAATATAATAAGACCTATTTACTGCTAGTTTCCTATACATAAACATTCGTTAAACATGACGTTAATCAATTTGAGTGTGTTAATTTTACGAATGATTTATTCTTTTAAGCTAAATGGGTTAATCTATTGTTTAAATAAGAAAGATTAGTTCAGCGAAGAGTTCTCTTTTCGGCGAATTCATTTTCAAAGCGATTGTACAGCTTTGAAAATGAATTCGCCGAAAAGAGAACTCTTCGCTGAACTAATCCTTCTTATTTAATGTGTTAGTGGGTGTATTCCATTTACTTTATTTTTATCCCGAAAAATACTTATTCAAGTGTGAAACTAGTATATGCAAACATGACCATCTATATTAGGCTAAATATTTTAATATGGATCACGTAATTCTTACAACTATCTTTGTTTTAAACAATATGGTTTCAGCACCTACATCTTCCTTTTTATAATAGAATTCGTAACTAAATGTATTTAACATATGAAATATTAAAGACTATAATTGATTCGTCTCTTTTGATATATGTACATCTTGTATGAATTGTCTAGATATTGTCATTTAATCACAAGTTTTTAATTAAAGTTAGAATAATGGCTAACAGTAAAATCCAGAAGGTATATATTTTATCCTATTTGGAACTCGTCAGGAACATCTAGTAAATGAATTGATTAACACTGTTAGATGCCGACTCAGTGGTCTATTGATTAAGCGTTCGCATATATAACCGACAGGCCTTGGGTTCGAATCTTGCTGACTGGATTGTGGATGCGCATTACTGAGGAGTCCCAAACTGGAATGAAATGATCGTTCTGTGCTAACAAGTTCTCGATGATGATCTAGCTTCAATCGATTCACGAATTCAACTACTGAAAATGAAAAATCACTGATTTACTCACAAATATAAAGATTTATTATTTTGAAAATAAATCAACAAAGAAAAAAAAACAATTTGTGTACATTATTATGTAAGATTAATCATGATATATATATATATATATATATAGATAGATAGATAGATAGATATAGATAGATATAGATATAGGTATATGTATATTATTCACAGTTTTATCTCAATGAATAGATACAACACGTTCCTGAGAACGAGATCACAGATTTTGTTTGTTTGATTAGGGGGGGTGTTATTTGTTTCTGTTTTTTTTCTGCTTTCGATATTTATTATTGAAATATGTTTTGTCAAAATTTTCTTTGCTTTTCTTCATGTTATCATTGACGAAAAACAAAAAAAGGGGAGAAGAAGATAGAAATTTGAGGAGAACTAGATGAAATAAAAGAGAATAGTTGAAATGAATAAATTAAAAAAAGGTAATTACTTGTATATATGTATATAGTTATTGTATTTGATGTTAGCTTTGAGGAAATGGTGTTATAAATGGCTTTGAACCAAGAAATATATCATAATAATTAGGATTATCATTTTTATGTAATGAATTTTGTAAAGGAATAGATGTTAAAAAATTTGAATTTGTTATTGTTGTAGGAATTTGTTCTTTTATTGTTCCTGTTGTTGTAGTATCTTTTAATGAATATAAATAAGCTGTTGTTAAAATATTTTGCCATGTTTTATAATCTATTGATTTATTCATTATTGTATTATCGGTTGGTATCCATGGTAAATTTGATGATGATTATGATTGATTATATCATTTAATTGATTATTTGAATTAGGACTAGGAAAACTACGAATCCATTGAGATAAATATGATTGAAATAAATCTGAAGGATTAAGTGAATGATTTGTGTCATTTATTGGATGAGATTGTGCATGATTATTATTATTATTATTATTATTATAATTTACAGAACATACAGTAGTTGGAGTGTTGATTGTTGTCATTGACAAATTAGATCGAGTTAATTGTGATGGTGAAGGTGGAAATAAGAATGGCATAAATGAATGATCATTTTTAGATCCAATTAATAAACCATTTGATCTATTATTTTGTAATTGATTAGTTTCACAATGTAATAATCTCATATTATCCTCCATAGAATTTGATTTTTTTGATTCATTTAAATTGAATGCTAATAAATGTGTATATACATGCATACATAATTCTGTATGACCATGAAATATTTGACCGCATAATAAACATGGAAATGTATTTGTTGTAGTTGTTACATTATGATTAATTATAGGATTTAATTGTTCCATTGTATGTTGTCGATGAATTAAATTTGTACTGGTTAACCATTCTAATGTTCGTCGTTCATTATTTATACATAAAGGATCTACAGATTCATTATTGTCTTCTTTGAATAATGTATGATTATGATTATTATTGTTTATAATATTGGTAGTAGTTGTATTAGTATTATTATCATTATTATTAGGAGTAGTAGTAGTACTAATTGTTGTTGTAGAACAAATATTATTCGATTCAGAATTTATTGAATTAACTAATTTACCATAGAAATAATCTAAAAAACTACGAGCTAATTGATATGAGAATTTTTCATGGGTATCCTTATTTGTTATTAGATTATTAGTTTCTTTATATTTAAATAATTGTTCATTATTTAATATGAAATTATTATAATTAGGTGATTGTATACGATTATTCATAATATTCGTTGTCATATTAGATGAGATATTTATATTAGGAGTATTGTTTAATTCATAATTTGAATGATTAGAATCATTATTATTATTACTATTAATATAATTATTCATTGAATTTATAATAAATGAATAATTATTATCTTTTGTATATCGTTTAGCTAAAGGTGGTGAATTACACTCATCAGATGTATTAGGATACTTAGAATTGGAATTTGTACGTCGTTTCATTCGTTTCAATGAATTTGGATCGTGTTGTATATTACTATTATTATTATTATTAGTAGTAGTAGTAGTATGATCAGTACTATTTCTACTGTCATTCCATGAATTTCGATTGTTTATTAAATTATTCGAATTTTTAAAACATGTAAAATTTAATTTTGGTGTTTCAGGTAATGAAAAACTTGATGATAAACGAGCTAATTGAGCAAGAGCATTTGATGTTTGATATAAATCATCTGATTTAATAAAATTATTATTAAATGATGTTAAATTAGATTCAGTTTTATTAGTTGAATGAATAGGCGAAAATAAAGTGGATGGAATAGAAATAGGTGATTGTTGTCTAGTTGTATTATGATTTAATGTTAATGAACTGACCACTGAGTCATTATTATTATTATTATTATTACGAGTTGTTTTACCGGTAGTATTGATAACAGAATTATTTAGCTCAGTACCTACACTTCCAGAAGTATTAGAGAAGTTCAACCTGGATGTATCATTTGAAGATAAGTATTTTGAAGTTGTATTTCGCTTATTAAAAGACGATGACATAACTTCATTTAAATTCATTACTTTAGGTTTATTTAATTTCGTAATATTACTGTTATTATTACCATTATTATGATTATTATTAGTGGTAATTCTACCACTTGTGACAGGAATTGAACTGACAGTTGATTGTTTACGTATAGAATTTGAATTAGATGATAAAAATCTGTTAGAAGAATTTCCACAATCCATTATGTTACCAATATTTTGACAAGTACGAGCCAACATAGCCAAAGGACTTGGACCAGATGAATCACACTAAAATGTTTTGAAAAAGGAAGTAAAAATAGAAAAAATTAGTTTAGTCGGGATGTACAACTTTAACCTTATTATTTATTTATTTATTTAAATGCATGAACAAATATAAAAAGGGCCACTAAAATATACATGAGCCACATCAATCATTGAATTGTTATGGGCTCTGGTATACTACCCGAGCGCCTAGATCGAAACAGGTTTAATTCACAAGGCAGTGAAACAACGTTACGAGATGTGGTCCCACAGCGGCAGGTCACCAACAATAGATTATATATCCGTTTTTTCCCTCAGGGTCCTGTAACCTATATTCAGATTCAGGATTTTCCGATTTCCTCAGTACTTACCAACCCGGTTTAAGAACGGAACATTCGCATTTCGTAAACAATACATACATCACGAAAAAGTAGTGGGTAGAACTTTCCTGGTAGTTGCTATATACGCGTAGCCATAAAAGAGTATTTTGAGAGGAAGGGTGGACACTCCTCACCATCAGTGGCACTAGGGCAATTAGAGACACTATTGTAACTGTTCTGATATTATTTTCATTCTTATTAAAAATTACATGTTACATTTTACTAAAGCTGATTAGGAAAAGCTTAATAATATATAAAGGTCTAACATTCTAGTATCGACCACATATCATTGATCTGTACCATTTATTAAGGACATTGTGTAGGATAGTTTAGAATCCATCACAGTTCTTTCTTTTGGAATTATTATTCTGTATGTCTGGGCTTTGTAACCACTGCTGATACTAATAATAAATTCAGCTAGATCTACTGACGTAGTGTTACAGCTTGACGCGAACGATAATTGAATAGATTCCAAGTCGATTATGACAATGTTGAGATTAATTTATTTGACTGTCTTGTATCTTAAACTTGTTTAGAAAATGTTCACGTTACAGTATACTATGATAAAACTCCAGTCCAACGTTAACTGATGCTACGAATACGAATGAATGTCATTAAACTTGAGAACATTCTTTGTGAGAAATAAAGCAGCATATGAAATTCTGATTACAATAAAAACTATATTAAAACTTACACTAAAACAAGCTCTAAATTATAGTAATGCTCTTTGAATCATTTAGTAACTATGACTAATAAATTAACTGGTGAATTATTAAAATGTTTACGGTGTAATTTCTTAAGAAGACCTTATCTTTTTTACAAGTTAATAGTAAATAAAAGATTATTAAATAGATTTTTTGAAAAATCATTGGCTTAATATTGGGAATAGAAGTTGTAGTTCATAAGGTCACTTTCATCATTCTGAAATAACACTAAGCTGTTGATAGTTATTCAAGTTTGTGTCAGTTTGGAAGTGTAAGGCTCGATAATACAAATCGATTACCTAAGCCGAGGTAGGTGAAAGAAGGTTTGAACTTTGTACACTTTTAATGACAGTAATGAATTGATTGTTAAAGTAGTAAGTATCGTTTTGTTTATGAAATATTTTAGAAATCTATCTGTTATTTACACATATTCACAATTTCTATGTTATATTAAAAATATAATTATGAATGAAGCTGATGTCAATTTAGTTGTATTTCTATAATTCATTTGATTTTTAAAATACACTTCATATGGATATGTTTAGCCTTATCAGATATTTAAATGTTAATATACGTATATTGATTGATTTCATAGTAGTGACCAATTTCACGTCCCATTAAGTGTATCAAGTCCCTTAAGATTACCGATCCATCTTGTCAACGAATGTCAGCTAACAGAATTTTCTATCAACCACATCCAACTACCTACTGCAAATAAATATACGTTATAAGAGATATAAGTCAATAAAATTATTGGACGAGAGTATTTCAATCTTTAAAAATACTCTCAAAGTTGTTGTAAATAATATGCTTTAATAAAAAAAATTACTATTATCATTAATGACCAAGTATCTCTGACACCTTAGTAGGATATTGAAGTATAAACACCATAAATAACAAAATAATTCAGATATTTTATTCATAAGTATATGTCTGAACATAATTCATATTTAAACATAATAAACTAATTAAAAGGAAAGATGGATAGTGGCTAGCAGTGGAATCCAGGACGCGCGTTTCGTCCTGTTCGGGACTCGTCATCTGGATGTACCTGCATCTCAGAGTTGATATTCACTCTGGGACTCGAACTCAGTACCGCTCGCTTCAAACGTCATCGCGTTATCCACTTAGCTACTGTGTCCTGATAGCCACTTGCTTGTGCAATGGGGTGAAGTTTAATTCACTTGGTATTGTTTTACTTGAATCTTCCCATTGATGTTTTAGGACTGAAATTGATCATTCTCTTATTGGCATAGTTGTGTTTACTTACTTTATTATATCACAGTGACATCAAAATTTGTTTATTTATTTTTGGCTCCAGATTATTGAACATTTACACGTTTCGCATGTATACACAATTTTATTTTTAAAAAAAGATTCACCAATGGAATTTATTTACTTACGAAAAGTTTATCATAAATTATATACTGTCAATAAATAAATAAACATCTTGTTTTCAGAAGGAGTTTTGTGGAGATTTTAGAAATTTCAATCGTTAAAATCATGAGTCAAATGAAGCTAGACCTCTATTGAAAACCTGGAAGCACTGGACGGTTGTTTCGTCCTACTATGGGACTCATTAACAGTGTTCATCCACGATTCCACACGCAAAATTCTAATCCAGGACTTTCGGTCTAGCGTGGGAGGCTTAACCTTTAGACCACTGAAAACAACAATTGTAGCAAATGTCAATGACTAGGTGGTCGACGTCTAAAAAAATCATTTATTTGTATTTGAACTAACCTTCAACAGTATCTAATTCTTGTGTAATTGAAGCTAATTCATATTAAAGTATTTCACAGTTATAAATAAAATAGTAAATATATGTGTACGTGGTTGCAATAGCCTGTTTATGATATGAAAGAATGAAAAGATGACGCCATTTGGGTCAATAATTTTTGTATCGATTCTAGTTCTAGATGACAAGTGTGAGCTATCGTTCAATATGACAGTTTTATTCCCTGGATTAATTCAAGTTAACTACATTTATTATGTGTTTACAGTAACTATGATTTCCACCCCCTCTTGTAATAATATTATGTGTAAAAATCAGTATATGAATGATTGTGTTGTGGTCTAAGGATGATGTGACTTCGGATGTGATTTAGGGTCTTGTTTGGTGACGAGTTTTTGAGGAGTCAATAAATCTTGATTGCACCAGTTTTTCGAGGTTCTCACAATGCGTCTTGGGGATTGTAGGAGTTCCTATTTCCCACTATAAACAGTTAAATCAAGGAATCACGGTGGTTTCCAAGTGTCAAATAGATGCAGTAAGACTATGAACTCAATAGAATCGATGCGTACATAAACGCGGTGACTCCTCAGACATAACAGTTGGTTATCGAGTTATAACTGTGCCAATGGACTTAATTGTCCAGTTGTAACAGTAATGATCCCGCGATATAATATCTCATTTATATATTTGCATATGAACTATATTTTGGATGAGTGTAACATTGTATCAGTCTGTCAAATACTACTGTATTATAGTCGATCGATCGCTGGATAAACGTCAATCTCAGGTGTGTCATATCCTCCTTAATACAGATTGAATTCTATCGACCAAGTTGCAATGACGCCACTAGACTAGGTGACTAGTCATCACCTGCACTGTGTTGATGGTGGTTGGAAGTAGTCGATAGAAAGACATGGACCTAGGTTTCGTGGTATTCGGCACTCGTTACCAAGGTGTGCTTGTAATCTTGACGGAGTTGATATTCCCTGAAGTATTCGATCCCATGTTACCGAGCTTCATAGTCAAGAACTCTACTACTGAGCTATCCGTGCCGCGACTGACTTCCTGTATGACTGAGATGTAGTTACAACTTTATACAAAATAATATATAAATCTGACGAACACTAGTGTTGGGGTATATGTGATGTAGTATAGATATTTCAATTGCTACTATAATTCTATTGTTATCGATATTACTGGTAGTACAGATGAGTAGATTTTTATTAAGTGTTGTTTGACGATAGTAGTTTTAGCTTTGTACATAGTTTTAAAAATACTTTCATTTAGATATTATGTAATCATTCACAAAGTTGCCATATGTAAAACGATTTTAAAATTTGATGTTAGGTTACAAAAATAAACTTGTGTAAACTTGAGAAGTCTGATAGAAACTAATTTTGCATACGTGTCATAAAAATGAGTGCTCACAGATATAAAGTCAATAAGAATTAATATTAAGTTTAGGACTACTATGTACTTTACTATGGGTGACAAGTTTTTTTCTATTAGGAATTAATGATACTACACGACTATATAAACAGATGCATGTGGTTAGACGTTACAACTCTACAACTTATTAGTCGTATGCAAAATTTATTTACAAACTAAGTCAACTTTATACGGTGAAACTAAAACTTATAAACGAACTAATCAGGTATAAGATCAAATAGGTCTTGGATTTTGGAGCGAAACTCACTCATCCATTTGGCTAAACAGCGTTTTGCATTATAGTTTATGTGTGTTCATGATAAAAATCCTAAATCTAATTCCTAACCTTAACTATCAAGTGTAAATTATAATTATAATTCCTCACACTAGTATATAACCTTCATTTAGTCCTAGTTATTAGGTGGACACTCTCTAAGACACTCTAGAGTCTCTCAAAGGTCGTCCATAAATTATAGTTTCATCCTTTATACTTTAGTAAATGTATACAAATATTCTAACATATTTATAGAATGTTATTTACTTTCTTTCAAGATAATGATCTAATAACAAATTTCACAAACATACTACTTTAAACATACAACAGTGCAAATGAGAAAAAATCAAAAAATGAATTTCTCATAAAAATTTATCAGAATAAATTATGATGATTTAGAGCTATAGTAAACACTGAAAACAGTATAAATCAGTACAAACCTTATCTGATACTAATCAGCATATGCTCACTAGGGACTGGCTTCAGCAAGTATTTCCTGGAATTCT